CATATTCTATCACGATATTTCATTTTCTTATCATTGCCCAACATTATACCGGTATTACCGTGAACGGTATGATATGGCCCAGCCCTAGTGGTGAGTCAAAATGAAGATGCTGGAAGCAGTTTCTGTTCAGCATTTAGTTTAGCTTTAATTTTTCTTTTTTCTTTTTTTAAATCCAAAGCATAAATTCAGAATCGACTGGTTAGCGTTTGAGCACAAGTAATGCCTGGTTCTTCTTTTGCACTGGTTGTGGAAGGCAAAGAACAAACTAGTAGGACACATGTAGAGTGCATCCTCCAAATAAAAGGAGCTGAATCCCCTCCAAATTGTAACAACTTTCCATTGTTTTTGTGCTCCACCTTCCTACAAAGTCTCACTGACAGACACATAGCAATGATTAAAATAGTTTGGTGCAGGAATCGCCCCTCGCTCATGACGAAGTATACACAGCTCTTAATAATAAACAAAGCATGATGGGAATGTAGGAGTACAGTAAGCTGTCCAACTATTGATTGTAATGTGGGAGTTATCCTGGAGTCCTTAATGTCATGACGTTTTTAAGTAATTAGTTGTTTGGTTGATGTGTCATATAAACATATTAGTGCTGAGCTCATATTTCCTTAGAAAAAGAGAAAGCTGCATTGACTTTGATCAGACTTGTATTAAATTAGAGTTAAATGAGAAAACTGAAACACCGATCAAGTTTCTCATATTTCTTCATCAAATAAATCTTTTATATTCAAAAGAAACGATCCACTTTAAGACTATTTTAAATTCCATTATCAATAAAACTACTTGAGCTCCGTGCTTCAAGTGTTTTAAATGTGATTGCGGACTCTCTGGAATGCAGCTTGCAGACATAGAATAATGGATGCTTGAAATCTTCGAATATTTGGATCTGTTATCTCTGGCAGCAGATTTGAAGGTCTGTAGAAACCATTGTAATACACATTGTAATGGCACCCAGCACATATCCTGTCTTCTTATTGGTAAAAGATAAACTTCCTGCAGGGATGTGAAGGTGCATAAATCAAACTAAAACCTTGTGCTCTGCCTGCCGTACATAAATATGAGTATTTCAAAAATTCATATTGGGAACATTAGAGATAATACCTTGAAACTTTTGGATGTAATAACAACAGAAGTCGGCTTTTGAAAAATATTAATTTCAATATCACATTGAACTTGGATATAAAAGTGTGTGCGTTTCATTCTACATTCAGGCTTTAACATAGAAACCAGGCGCTTAATTGTAATGATTTTAAGGAATGTTGTATGCCTTGTATATATGAGAATAAATATACTATCAGTCCCCTACCTGGAAAACATGTTTCTACTGGTTTCCATATCTGCTGTCTGAGATCAGACACTCCTGAGAGTCTACATTCCTAGCCCTGTAGTACCAGATATTTACCCTATAACATCTAAAAAAAAAATCCTAACTCTAGTAGTTAGGTTCTAACTACTGATAGTGGGATCTACATTGCCCAGTATCACAAATCCCAGAATTCCTTTCAAGTGTAGCATCCATTTACTGACTTTAGACTGAGCTGTCAGTTTAGTTTCAGTTCATTTCAATCCAATGTTATTTCTATAGCACCAACAGTGAGCTTTATACTGCAAGAACATACAATAATATATAGAAACTCCCAACAACCAGGAAGCTCTTGGCGACAATGGAAAGGAGAAGGGGAAGACGGGTCTGTGGTATAGAGCCAGAATGCATCACTTTGCATTTTAATAGTTAGTAAAACAGCTATTTAATAGTTATTAAAATGCAAATTGATGTGTAAACACCCAGTGAGTAAATAAGACACACTAAGTGCATCATGAGAAGCTCCCAGCAGCAGGAGCCTATGGCAGGATTCAGGTTGACCTTGTTCAGGCCCAACTATATGTTTTATCAAAAAGGGAAGTTTTAAGTCTAAACTTAAACATAGATGCAGTGTTCAAAACCTAACTGGATCCATGGCAATGAAATGTTTACACAGAGTTTGCGTCATGTGAAAGTCTTCAGAGTCTGAGATTAGCACGTAATGTTTATCTTCCAGTTCAGTGTTGAGACGGGAGGCAAAATGGCTCTGATGACCTCTTACTATGTGTGAGAACTGAAGTTGCATGAGACTTATTATAATACGTCTCATAAAACACTTTATCAATGTGTAATGTTTAAAACATGGACTTTAATTATGCTTATGGTTATAATTTAGGTAAAATTGGTAGACCACATGATATTGGATGGGTTTTATGTGGAGAGCACCTTGTCAGCACAATGCAATGCAGGCCACTGCAACACCACTGTGGAGTGTAATTTAAGCTTTAGTCTAAATCTCCAAAATAATTTGGAGCACCTGAATTAGGACACAAATCTGGGCCTTTACCAAAATAGAAAACTCCTCCCTGAAGGTTCAACGTTGTCCCCACTGTATATTTTTTTTTTGGGATGCCAGTAAGTAGACCTGCATCTTTTTCTTTCTTTTTTTTTGGATGCACCTGCACTTTTGGTGTGTTATCAGAAGTTAACTTTTAACATGAGGGTGTGTGAACAAGTTTTTACTGGGGACTGTTTCCTTGTAGTGCATCCAGTTAAGAGACTGGTTAATTATTAAACAACACATTAATGGAGCTAGTTTAAGTATGTTGTGCTGCAGCAGTTCAGTTTGGGTCACATTGATACCAATGGAAATTTTGGGGGGTTTAGCTCAGTTGGAGGCTGTCTTATTGGTCTTGTGCGTTTTGCTCATGTGCGATGAAGAGTGGTTTGATAGCTTGAGAGCATTTATTTGCTGTTCGGTGTTTAGTTTTAGTTTTTTTTTTAGTTTCAGAGTGGTTTGTTGGGGGCTGAGTGGGTGAGTGTGTAGGTGCACAAGTGGGTTTCATAACAAGTGATGGACGCTGTATTTCAGGATGCAAATGAATCTGTAGATGAGCTGTTCTCCTCAAGTGTATGTCTAAGCAGAGTTACCAGGTCCAGCTGCACACTCTGGACTAATCGCTGTGCTGAAGATTAGAAATACACTAACACACATTAATGTGAAATTATGTCTTCTTGTGCAGTTTAGCAACCATTTTTGGAAATTTTCCACTTCTTGTTATCTCTTTATTTTTCAGTGGGTGAAAATGTGGTCATGTTTGGGTTTTATTAATTCAGTGTCGGAAATGTTGCTTCACATTTTCTCTGAGGTGCTGACCAAATTAACACGAACCAATGTTTATCCAGTCATATGAAAGAGTTTTTACACGACTCCATGCACTACATGCTTACTGCTTTCATAGGAGTTAAGAGGATAAGTAGCAGCCAGGAGCTACTAATCAAATGCCCTTGAATAACTGATCGTCAGCAAGTGTGACCGCCTCTATAAAAGCAGTCATTTTGGCAATTTGCTGGTCTGGTGTTTGTTAATACAGTGCAAAGGCTTCCCAGGAGTAGAAGTCCCATCAGATTCACCCCAGTTCATGATAGTAATGTTAGCAAAACACTGAACAAGTATGACTTGTTTGGAAGGGTTCCCAGGAGAAAGAAATTTAAAGCCCAACTTAAAAGGTTACATCTAAAAAAAACTGCAAGGCTTCTGGAACAGTGTCCTTTGGAAAGACAAGCCCAGAGTGGAGATGTTGGGCCATAATGCACAACCCCACAATCGGCGAAAACCAAACACAACATATCACACCAACACCTCATACCTGCTGTCAAGCATGGTGGTGGAGCAGTGATGGTTTAGGCTTGTTTTACAGCAACAGGAGGGCAACAATAACCATGAACCAAGGCCACCTGTCTGACAGTAAAGCCAGTCCCAAACTGAGTTAACAGGCAGAATGGCTGAAAAAGAAAACAATCAAGTTATTGCATCACGCAAGTCAAAGTCGAGACCTCAACCTGACTGAAGTGCTGTGGCGGGGCTTAAGGGGGGTTTTGCTTAACCAAAAAAACCACACACCTCAATGAAGTGAAGCAATGTTGTGAAGAAGAAATTCATCCACAATGATAGTCATACATAGGGTTGTGCGATATGACCAAAATCTCATATCCCGATATAAAACCTCTATCATCCGATAATGATATAAATAAAAAAAATGTAATATTTTCTGTAAGTTCTGTGAATCTCGGGTAGGTGAAGTGTTTCCAGCTGGGCGTCGTGTACCTGGAGTTGAGTGTTTTAACCGATGCATGAAACTCCACATTTTTAGATATAAGTTGTAACGGCCGCCGTTTTCTTTGTGAGTATTTATTACACGGCGTGCTACGGGGAAAAGCCTGTTCTAACGTTTGAGTCTAAGATTTATTTTTTAGCACCTGGCGGCTCTTTGTTTATTCTCACCCCCGTCAATAATACTCTTTCACGTGATTCAGTTTATTTTGAAAAGTCTCAACAGGATCTTGAGCTTTATTGTGAAAGGTTTATGTGGAACATAAACAAGCGGACATGCGATGCTGTTACCGTCGTTGTTGCTAACGACAACGCATAAAAACAGGCGTTTGTCCGTGGGTAGTGTGGTTATATTAAATATAAGAGAAAGAGAGAACTTTAAGAAATTAATATAGCCACTACAGTGATCATCAAAACGATGAAAAAAAATATTGCTGTAAAGTTTATTTTGCGACACCACGAAACAAACGATAGCGTAAAATGAAACGATAGACGTTTTTATATCGTCATCCGATATATATCGTTATATCGAACAACCTTAGTCATACAGAAAACAGTTACTTTTAATTATTGCTATTAAAGGTGGTTCTATAAGCGATTAAATCATGGAGTATAGAGGCCTGTGAAACGTTTCTTTCACATCACTGTATCATTAGGAGGCACCAAGCTGCTCACATTCTTACTCATTTGGCTACAATTACTACTTTCTTTTTTCAGTTCATCTACAACAGCGGTCCTCAACCCCCGGGCCTCGGACCGGTATCGGTCCGTGACTCATTTGGTACCAGGCTGCGAGAGTTGAAGCTCAGGTGTGAAATGTATGGTTTTCAGGGCTTTTATGGGTTTTCAGCGTTATTTTGTTATCGTTTTTATCGTTAACTCGGTTTTCCTGGGTCTTTTCATGTGTGTTATGAATAAATCTTCTTTTTTTTGGTACCGGTACTAGTTTTATTTTGTTGTATTTATCCGCGACACCTTAAAGGTCGGTCCGTGAAAATATTGTCGGGCATAAACCGGTCCGTGGCGCGAAAAAGGTTGGGGACTGCTGATCTACAAAATGTATTCACTAATAGCTCAATCAGTGAATCATCTGGATGTTGTGAGACAACAGAAACTCTCTACTTGTTTATGTTAAAAGTCAATTTTACTATTTTCAAGACAAAGTTTCACCAGCTGTTCAGCCAAAACAGATATTTATAAACACATGTCATCTGTAGACTTTGAGTTTGTTCCTGATAAGCTACAGGCGTTACTGCCAGCAGTACATCAGCACAGTTTGTCATGGGAAATACTTCTGTCTCTCTATGTTACTGTTACTGTCTGTTAGACCATTATATTGATTGGATGCATATTTATGAATGAATTAAAGCAGTTCATTGATTACAAACATGGTTGCTAATTTATTTTTAAAAACCTGCCATCTTTGCTAGAGAGTGCAAAATATTTCCTGCGCTGGAAATGAGATTTCCTAAATGTGTTGCTTTAGATGTAAGTGATGAAACAGTTTGTGCTTTGTGTGGTCTTAGGTGTACGTATCGCTCATTCCCATCATTGGTGGGGTGCTGCTGGCCACAGTGACCGAGCTGTCCTTTAATATGACGGGACTAATCAGCGCTCTGGCTGCCACGCTCTGCTTCTCACTGCAGAACATCTTCTCCAAAAAGGTAATCCACCCTCATGTTGCTGTGTGACACGTGTGCTGATCTGCTGATTTTGTTTTTTTTGTTTTTTTCTCTTCTCTGAAAAATGTCCAAATGAACCAGCAGACATTGTTAGAGACTTCCTGTTTTTTCATTCAAATCATAGCCACAGTTTAACTGCCACTTTTTGAGTCTCAAAGGGTGGGGGAAAAAGTCAATGTGGGATCTCCGTCTCCTTCCTACTTATGACACATTAACAGAGAGGAAATGAAAATGCACTCAAGGGATTTAATAACGCAGTATTACTTCTTTTTTTTTTTTTTTTTTTGAGTGTCTGAGTCTGATGAGGAGGATTGTCCTGTTGCATTCAAACAACTTCACGGGTTTTTCCTCCAGCATCCCAGTGGCACGATCCCACTCAGGTTGCCCCAGTCTTGGAAATCTCACACGTCATTTTTTCCAAACCTGTGGAGCCTTTTTTTTTTTTTTTTTTATAGGCTTGGGTGCGTTAGCCGGATAAAGGTTTTGTGACGACACAGGATTGCTCACAATAATCAGTCGGGTGTGACAAAGTCTCACATGTTATCAAAAAGGCAGCTATAGTTTTCTTAACAGATGAAAGGTCTTCCCAGATTGGACAAAAAATAGAGTGGTGCATTTTAAATCTCTTGAGTGTATAATAAAGAAATGGAGATTTCTGAAAGTGTGCTGAAATGCTTACAGAGTTCTTTATATCAGTTTAAAGATGCATTAACAGAGTTGCAGCCTAAGGTTTTATTGTGTTTTTACAGGTGTTGCGTGACACGCGGGTCCACCACCTGAGGCTGCTGAACATCCTGGGCTTTAACGCTGTGATCTTCATGCTGCCCACCTGGGTTCTGGTGGACCTCTCTGTGTTTCTGGTGAATGGAGACTTGGTGAGTAGCAGTAAGAGTCTGGCGTGAACTAGAGCCGCTTCGGTGACCGTGAGCTTTATCTGACGTAACTCCTTTCGTCTCAGACGGATGTTTCGGGGTCCATGAGTACCATTATCCTGCTGCTCATCAGTGGGTTCTGCAATTTCGCTCAGAACGTCATCGCCTTCAGTATACTCAACGTCGTCAGTCCGCTCAGCTACGCCGTCGCCAACGCCACCAAGAGGATCATGGTCATCAGCATCTCGCTGCTAATGCTGCGAAATCCCGTCAGTTTGACAAACGTCCTGGGAATGATGACGGCTATCGTCGGAGTCTTCCTTTACAACAAGGTCAGTCAGCCCGAGCGAAAGTTCATTATAAAGATGTGCATTTAATCCATTAAGGCACGATGCAACATGCACTTGCTTCTGTTGTTTAAATTGGATGTGATGCAAGCCTGTTTTATGTCATTGTTGTCAAAACACACACGCTATAAATAATTTCACCTTTCTTACGTCGTGGGGTAAGAGAAACATACAAATGTTGCATTTAGAGTTCAGGGTCTGGAACTTACTGTCTCTAAGTGATCTGCTTCTCTACCAGCCCCCAAGTCCACTTACACTCCTGTCCTTGTTTATTTTCAGTCCACAGACTGCTTTGCTTTCACCCTTAAAGGACTTCTTCCAGTAGTTTTACCATCAATCCAACTTGAGCTGCTTTCCTTTTTTGCACTCATTTATCTTCTTTGACCATTGTGACCTACGTGGTCAGTTCAGGTGATCCAACATTTAAAACCTGGTTGATTTCAAATCTTTTTGCTCTTGTCCTTTGCCAACAGGCCAAGTATGACGCTAACAAGGAGAAGAAGCTGCTGCCGGGCTCCAAACAGGACCTGATGTCCTTTGACAACCCGGCGCTGGAGAAGATCCAGGCCAACGGGTCAGTGCCTTTCCCCCACAGCCCAGAGCAGCAGCAGCAGCAGCAGCACAGCTGGAACCACGTCCTGACTGACCACTTCCAGTACAGCCAGCAGAGCTACACGACAAACTACAGCAGCAACCACCAATATGTGGTGTAAAGGAGGACTCGTCCTCACTCTGGTAGCTGTCATAGACATTACTGCGTGTAGCCCGGCGGCTCAGAGGCAGGTCTCAATCACCTGGAGACTGAGGGCTGTTTGTGTTGAAGAATGAGGTGTCTGACATCACGGGCCAGTCATGTGACCTCCCACCCCTTCTCTCTCCCTGTCTAAACTTCATTTTGAGTCAGCTTTGGTGTAGGTCTTTATTTATTTCTTTGGTACTGACTGAACGCGACGGTTAGAATCGGTTTGTATCGGCCAGGAAGGTAGCTGGAAAAGGATCTCCACACAACTGTTTGCAGATGTTTGATTTTTGTTTTCACTACCAGCCGTAACATTCTAGTTTGTTTACTTTGAGAGGAAAGGACGTCATGTGTAACCATCACTGTGAATGTTGACGTGCACCGAATTACGAGTCTGTCGTGTCTTTTAGTTCAGTCAAGATCCTTAAAATTTTTAGGTTTTGGCATTTCATGTCTTTTTTTTCTCTCTCTTTAAAATTTACTTGAGACAATGTGGGGAGATACAAACTGTTGAGTTAGTCATCAGTGAATAAATTATAGCCTTAATGCTGATGGGAGTTCTTGGGAATATAGTGGGTTTTGTAGGTTTGATCTGATATTGTGACTGGCAATGTTTTCAACACCAAGTGTTAGTCATTCATTCTTTCTGTCCAGATTGAAACATATCAACAATCAAGATGGGTTGTAATGATATTCTATATAGTTAAAAACCTCACAGAGCCTCTAGCGTAGCCACAGACTGTATACATTCAATCGATATCCACACTCTCACTAATAAAAGTGCCCAATTAGGAAAAATGCTCCAAATTAAAAGCGGATGAGTCCATTGCTGTTCATAAATGTTTAATAAAGCCAAACACTTATGAAAACCACATCGTTGAATGAAGAGCGAGACCATTTCTGTTATCTAGAAAGGTCAGTGACCTCGTACAGATCTGTGCTTCTCCCTGGTGAAACAGAAAATAGTTTACTGTATTATTTGTTGGTATAAATGTGGCTCAGGAGGTTGAGCGGGTCGTCTACTAATCAGGTTGGTGTTTCAATTCCCGGCTGCTCGTCAAAGTATCCTGAACACACCGACGCTCCAGTTTGTGTGTGCGTGGATGTTAGCTTAGAAAAAGCGCTTGTATGATTATGTCTTTGAATGAATGAATAAGGCCTAAAATTAGATTTGCATAACAAAAGATGTGCAGCTTCATACATGAAGGATGTATTTGTTTCTTCTGTATCCCACCACATAAAATATAATGGAGGTGTTTTTGTTGTCATGGAGACTTTTTTTTTGGGGGTTTATTTGTATTTATCAGTCTGCGAAGCTTCAAGCTTTGGTTCAAGCTCTGTCAGCCTGAACCAAAAGCTCCTCTGTCATGTTTCAGTTTTTAAAAACAGAACGCCGTGTCGAGTTTGCATGTCTTCAAACCACTTGATGCGTTTTCTTTTAATTTGTCAACACTGGCGTCATAGAGTCACTGGACAGAGGTTTGGATTGTGCAATGAAAGATTCACCTGTAATTTCAGGTGGGCTTTCTATCATCACTACTGTAAAGTGCAGGAAGACAGTTTTTCTTTGTTTTGACTCTGTTGCTTTCGAATCGAGCGCCGGTTGTGAGCTTGTTTTCTTTTTTGGTTTTTGGGGAGGGTTATTAATTAAATTCCGTCACAGTATTCAGTGATTGGTGGGTTTTTCCCCACCACAAACCAGTGTCTCCAGAACGTGTCTGTTTACTCCTTTCTAGATTCATGGAGAAAACTAGCTATTAACTGCCACCATGTTATTTTATTTTTTATTAGATTACATACTGAAATTTAAGTCCTCTACTCAGTGTAAGAGTAATTTTAATCAGAAACATTGCAATACAACCAAACTCGCTGTCCATTGTTTTGAAATATAGTTTGTGTGTTGTTGTCTGTTGTTCACTTTGAGGCTGTCTGTTGTTTGTGTTGGCCTTCGTGACATTTTCCCCACCGCAAACGGTAACCATAAATAAAAACAAACAAAGTGATGAATTCGAACTTCTATGACTTCAGCGTCCATTTCAAATGTTAGATTTAATCATCTCAGCTTTTATCTACTGAGCAGCATAGTTTCAGTTTTGCATCCGATGGGGAAAATGTGATTGTGTCACTCATAGTGGAGTGATGGCAGCAAATTAAAGAGCCCATTTCTTTACCTCTATGGAAGCGCTCAGTGGTTTTGCAGATGTTTAAAAAGTAGTTTTAATAAAAATCCGTTTTTAAGGAGGGGAGATTTTGTTTATAATAAAGATCCAGATATGTTTTAATGAGTTGGTGGAGCCCAAAACGGAGCTTAAAGATAAAGAAACGTGCGGTTTTATTTATTATTTCACTGCAATGTCTTTGCAGTTTCTGCCACTGCTAATGTGAACATTGACAAATCTGAAATGTTTCAGTCTTGCAAGATGCACGGGCATGATTTTAAATCTACAATAATACAAGTGTAAATTGTTTTTGCAGACAGCAGGAGGGAACTCTTCACCCATTAAGAAAATGACTCATCTTCTTACTAGACTGGTGCAGTAATTCACAGATCTCAGATGGGAAGTATCGTATTAGATGAAGAGCCAAGAAAATTTTAGAAGTGTGATTTACAAAGAAATTGACACGATCGGGTCACAGCTCAAGAATATTTTGCTTCCAGTCACATGCAGAGTGCAGCTAACGGTTTTAGACCATCTCGCCTTTCCTTCGTGCTTTTTTTTTTTTTCTTCCTCACTTATTTCTTCCTGTTGCCAAAAGAAAGGGTGTAATCCTTCTGATGCTGACGTGCCACCAGAGAGAGGCCTTCTGTCAGCTCGGCCACAAGACCTGAAATTCCTAAACGATAACGCGTAGGACACGTGGACGGTTCATGCCGGCTCCGTTTCTGAAAGTGGGAGAAAGTTTGAAAGGCGAATTATTTTAAATTTCCTCTCTCTGTCTGTCATAAAGCTTTTTAAAGGGATCTAAATGTTGACGAGAAAGGGGGAGAATACTTTGTAAAACTTGTATAATTATTTTTGTGTCTCTTCAATGGATCTCTAGAAAGAATTTTTACTTAACTGATGTTTTTAGATTTTTATTTATGGTGTCTGTGTACAGAAATGTTGTACAGGGGGGTGCACAGTCTTGTCTGCTTAAATAAATACACAATTGAAGACTGAAAATGTTTGCGTGTTCTCTTAACTGATAAATGTTTGATAAAAGAAGTATGAATAATGAATAGTATGAATAAAAATCCCAGTATAGTAAAAGTGTTAGCAGCCAAATATTCTTAAAATACCTCTGCAGTAAAAAGGTTTCTTTCTAATAAGGTTTAAATATTGATAATGTGTCTTGCAGTTAAGGATTACCATCTATTGCTTAAAGTGTTATAGGGAAATATATTATTCATGGTATGAAACCGCATCCCAAAGATGCTCTGTTGGATTGAGATCTGGTGAATCCGTGAACTCGCGGTCATGTTCAAGAGACCAGTATGAGACGATTTGAGATTTTTATCCTCTGAAGCGTACACTGTACTCGTGAAGGGATGGACACTGTCGGCAACGATACTTGGATAGGGAGTGGCGTTTAAGCGATGCTCAGTGGGTTTTCCTGGGGTCAAAGTGCACTGAGATCATTAGACTACCAGCAGCCTGAACCACTGATACAAGCGGGATGATTCCATGCTTTTGTGTTTTTGATGCCTAAATCTGACCCGTCCATCCAAATACTGCAGCAGAAATTGGGATTCATCAGACCAGGTAATGCAGGGGTGGGCGATTCCAGGCCCTGAGGGCCGGTGTCCTGCAGGTTTTAGATCTCACCTTGGGTCAACACACCTGAATCACATGATTAGTTCATTACCAGGCCTCTGGAGAACTGCAGGAGCTAATTTAGCCATTTAAATCAGCTGTGTTGGTTCAAGGACACATCTAAAACCTGCAGGGACACCGGCCCTCTGGGCCTGGAATTGCCCACCCCTGAGGTAATGTATTTCCAGTCTCCTGTTGTCCCGCTGCTGTATAAAATCTGCCTCAGGGTTCAGCAATTTTCCATTCAGACATGTTCTTCTACAACCTTGGTCATCTCAAAACATCTGTTCTCCTTTGACCTCTGTTTTAAACTCCCTTGACTGGATGTTTTAAATCTTTGTGCAGGAAAATCCCAGCGGATCAGCAGTTTCTGAAACACGATTAACGTCCCTTAAATCACCTTTCTTCCCTGTTGATGCACAGTTTCAAGTATCAGGTCCAAGTATCTTGATTATGTGTGTGCAGCGCTTAATTTCAGGAGAGCGTGTATAAATCTAACATGACATTTCAGTTGCTCTGTTCTGTCATGTATGTTTCTTCCTGGCCTCAAATGTGTGCTTCTTCACTTAAAAACTTTCCAGTATCTCTGCCACTGTTGTGCAGGTAATATACAAAGTGGTGATGAATAAAATGGCAATTTGGTATTTGATTAGGAGCTAAAACCTTATTTATCTCCCAGTTTGCCAAAGGCAAAACCACATGTTGATGATATATTTTAAAAAATGTCAGTTAGTTCCCCCTAGTGGGCACAAATTAATAATGCAGCACAAATGTCAGCACTTTTAAGTAGAACTGAATGATTTACTTGAAGCTCCGAGTGTACGCTGTCATGTTTGTTTACACCAGACTGTGTTTACAAGAAGTCGGTATGGTAACAACAGGCACAAGTTTCTTTTATGTGGCTCCACGTGATCTTTCAGAGGAGGACGCACATCTGCAGCGTGTCTTTGTTGGGCACACGGAGCTCACTTTCTCCTCTTTCCATGTTATGATGGATGCTGGCAGCCTCAGTTAGCCACCAGTGACAGCTCTTTAGTGTTCCTCTACACAGGAGTGCAGACTGTTAGCATTAAGGCGAAAGTGTTTTAGAGCTTAGCTGCCTACACACAATGACTAATGACCTGATTTCCCTGCGTTTGTTTTTTGGCCTGGTGGGGTTTTTTAGTTTTGTTTTCAATGTATTTGTCATAAAGAAAGAGATAAAGTGGATGTGGTTTTTTGCTTCTCTTTCATCCTATGTACTTTTTCTTTGTTGATGTGACCTGTTGATGTGACCTCTCACTATTTCACTTGGCTCTTTCTGCGCCCATGATTTCATTCCAGGACAAAGACAGTTGACTGATTTTCTAGTGCAAACATGAGTCTTTATTACAAACAGCCATCAGCATATTTTGGTCAGTGCTCTATTAATTTCATATGTTTCTCTTGATGAAAAAGAAATAACGAAACCCACACAAACCATCGGGGAGTTTTCCATAAACACTGTTGGAGCTGAGGGACGATCCTGTCCATCACAAGAACCATCTGATGGCTCTTTGGCACTGTCAGAGACATCTGGAGGAAGGTGGAAGGGGAAAGGTGGAGGTGAGCCCCATGAGAGATGACATTCATCTAGCGAAAGAGTGTCTCAGCTAGGCGGAAGCCACAAGGGGAGGTTGGACAGAATGGAAAGGCTCGATCTATCATTGCACTTCAGTAACAACAACTCAATCAAACATTGTTTCTCTTTTCTTGTCAGCCCCGTGACACACAACTCTTTCAGTCAATAAATAATCCTCCAGGAGCTCTGGGGATCCCTCCGTGCTGTGGGCCCACCACGTCTTCATCATCAGCGGCTCTGAGAGAGAGTCGCGTGTGAAGCTCTTCATGCCACCATAACGCAGCAAACATTCATCGGTGTCAAATATGTGCTCACTCAGCAGAGTCAAGTCTGCTGGAGGCTCTCTCCGTGTCGCGCGGAGTGAATGTGACAGTAGCGGGCAGCTGAGTGATGATGCTGGCGTTGCACATCAGCTGGGTGAACACGCTGCTGTCCTTCACAATGCTGGTAGTAAATAGGGTGGTTTGCGTTAAAGGAGGGGAGCTGCTGCGGCTGCTGCTGCCTCGCCTGGATAAACCGAGGAACCGGCGGAACAGGGACTTCCTGAGGAGGATGTAGATCCAGGGGTCAAGGATGGGGTTAACTGAGGCTATCCTGATGGCAGCCAGGTCTGCTTTGAAGTTTTTTTCATCACTGAAGCAGTTTGCAAACACACGAACCTTAAAACAGAAGAAAGGAGCTGTTATAATATATTTCTTTAGACTGTTAACAGCTCATAAGCAGAAAGATTTCCTGTTTTGTCATCTTAAAAAAGAAAAGTTTGTCAAATCAAATCAAATTCCTGGATTCCTGGATTGAATGAGCAAACTCAACATTAAGGCGCTGTCCTCATGTAGACTACACCTCTGGTTACAAATATTTTGCAAGCTGTTGCATTATTAATTTCTGCTATTTGGGTTTAGCTGGACATTGTAAGTATAAAAAATAAACGTTAGCTTTGAGCAGAAAATGACTAATAAAGTCTGTTCTGGAGACAGGGACTTTATTTTCTAACACAATAAAATCCACATTGTTTAACACAGTGTAAACACTTCATGGCTTTTCTGAAAAGTCAAAATATAAAGTCCCTGTATGAGGTGAAGAGAAATGATCACATTTTATCCAATTAAAGGCAGATTACACCCTGCACCAGTAACCAGCCTGTTGCAGACAACCATTCACAATCACACCTATAGGCAGTTTAGAATGAACCTAACCTCCTGTCTTTGGACTGTGGGAGGAAGCCTTAATACCACAGTACACAGGCAAAATAAGCAAACTCCACACAGAAAGGCTTCAAACTCGGGAATTTATTGGTGTGAGGGAACAGTGCTAACCACTGTGACCAGGTAATGACTGGACTTTAGAAAACAATATAGATTATATTCATCAAATATACAAGAATATTTAATGAACTGGCATGCAAGTTAAATGCCTAAAATGTGAAGGTAGCCCTGCTAAACTGTCACCAGAAGTTTTCAGTTGTAGTCATTTTAATGATACATATTGTTGTGTGCGTGTGGGATATATATTTATCCAATTATATTAGGTTGAACTTCTGGAGTATCTGATGCTGAACGTACTGAACATATTTGCTGGAATCAAGCAAACTGAGCAAATCAAGCACTACGTTCGTCCACTTTTAGGTCCTTTTACAGATTTAAGTAGTTCCTCGTTATTTCACAGGCAGTTGTTGCCTGTGAAATTCAGGCTAACTGCGTGCATCGGAGGAAAAATAAGATGGAAAGTAGGTAAAATTATTTTTGGCCAGTTTTAATTAAAGCTAACGACGTTAAAATGCATGTTTCGCACTGCTGTGTCGATACTAATCAGTACAATACTGGTAATCCTCGTGTTTATAAGTGCCAGGCAGTGTTACACCAACGTTTCTCTGCGCACCACTCGTTAATTAAAGACTTCTCTTACCACTAGTGGGGCTGAGCAGGCCAGGACCACCACAGAAGTCATCACCAGCACCGCGATCATTTGAGTCTCTGCGGCCGAGGACAGAGCTCTCCACCTTTCGCGGACGCTGCCTCTGGTGACGGGCAGCTGCACGACCCTCTGGCGCATCATCAGCAGCGCGCCGCACACCGCCAGGTTCAGCAGGATGGTGCCGAGGATCAGCAGCAGGCTAACGACGCTGTACAGGACGGAGTAGGTGGTGGACACGGGGTCGTGTTTCCTCCAGTCGATGAAGCACCAGGTTTCGGACGGCTGCAGTTTGCTATTCGCCATGCCCATCATTGGGAGGCAGCAAAAGAAGATGTGACTGATGTAGATGAAGAGCAGAAGCTTCTGCGCGAAGCGTCGGTCCACTCCCCACCGCTGGTAGGTGTACGGGCAGCATATGGCCAGGTATCGCTCTGCTGCCATGGTGCATATGATGCTGAGTCCGGTCAAACCGAAAAACAGCAACAAAAAGGACTGAAACTCGCAGACATGTTGGTCCAACAGCACATTGGGGTTAAGGTAGTTGGCTATAGTTATCGGACTGGCCAGGCAGGTGCCCAGCAGGTCCGTCACCGCCAGCCCGCACACCAGCGTGTAGAAAGCTGAAGATTTGCGCTGCTGTCTTGATACCGAAAGAACGATTATTGCAATTAAATTCCCAACGGCGCCTCCAGCAAACATAAAAATCGGTAAATTGATTGATTTCTCGACACGGTCTGTTTGTGAATTCTGAGTCGTGGTCTCGTTTATTGAATAAGGTCCGTGCGTAGAGTTTGAGCTTTCCATTTCTATCCACGAGATAGCCTTAGTTACAGACGCTACCTGTGGT